GTCAACAAATGTTGCCTTTTTAATGTTGCAAATGACTATTTTTGTTGAAGTGGATAAAAATGAAGATGTCGAGAACTTGAGACAAAATGAAAATGATATGCTTGACAATGTTGATGATGATAAAAATGATAATGTTGATGAAGAATTTCTTAAGGAAAATGATACTAGTGAAGATGTTGATGATGAATCTCTTAAGGAAAATGATACTAATGAAGATGTAGATGGTTTAATTCATAATAGGTCCATTCCCTTCAACATCTATGATCCAAGAACTTGGGATAATCTTGATATAAAATCTAGAGATTTGCGAGTGATAAATGGTCCTACAAGAGACCATTCACTAGAAAAGGATCCTAAAGATAATTTGTCTAGATGTTTCTCTTCAAGTCATTACACTCGTAATTTATCAAATGGTGAGAAACATGATAGGCCATGGCTGGTGTATTCAAATGATCTTGATAAAGATTTTTGTTTTTGTTGTAAGTTATTTAAAAATGGTTTACAAAAAAGTTGGTTGATGAATGAATGATTTTATGATTGGGTACATCTCAGTGTCAGGCTTAAGGAACATGAAATGAGTAGTGTGCATATCAACAACATGGCTACTTGGATTGATTTACATGCTAGAATGAAGAAAAACAAAACAATCGATGTAGAAATTCAAAAACAAATTGGAAAAGAGAAACAACATTGGAAGGAAGTACTGCAAATAATAATTTATGTCGTGCAATACCTAGCTAAAAATAGTTTGGTTTTTTGTGGAACGAACAAGAGACCTCTTGAGGATAGCAATGGGAATTTCTTAGGACTAATTGAAATGATTGCAAAGTGGGATCCTATCATGAAGGAACGTGTGCGGTGTATTAAAAGTAATGAAATTCAATATCACTAACTTTCAAATAAAATTCAAAATGGGTTGATGGCTTCTTTGGCTTCTAAAATGAAAAAAGCACAAGTATTAATAAAATCAAAGAAGCAAAATACTTTTCTGAGATACTTGATATTACTCCGGATGCAAGACACCAAGAACAAATCTCTTAGATCTAAAGATGTGTAGACTTATGTAGTAATCAAATAAAAAAACNATGCAAGTCACCAAGAACAAATGTCTTTGATCTTAAGATGTGTAGACTTATGTAGTAATCAAATTAAAATACATGAATATTTTATTGAATTTTAAAAAGTGGACAATAAAACAGGTCAAGGACTTTTTGAAGAATTACAAAATACTCTAGTAACTCTTAATCTTGACATTAATGACGTAAGAGGAAAATGATATGATAATGGATCTAACATGAAAGGTAAGCACCAAGGTGTTCAGAAAAAACTAATAGATATAAATCCTAGAGCATTTTATACACCATGTGGATGTCATAGTTTGAATTTAGCACCATGTGATATGGCAAACTCTTGTGTTAAAGCAAAAGGTTTTTTTGGTGCTGTATATGGTATTTGTACTTTGTTTTCTAATTCTACAGAGAGAGAAAATATTGAAAGATAATGTTAAAACTAATGTCAAGCCATTGTCAACTACACGATCGGAAAGTCATATTGAAGTTGTTAAAGCAATTAGATTCCAAGCTCTTGAATTAAGAGAAGCTTTACTTAAAGTCGTTGAAATTGAAAATGACAATGATGTATGGTGTTGGGCTAATGCTTTGGAAACCCTTTATATCGGAAATTTTGAGTTTTTAGTAGCTATGATTATATGGTATTAGAAATTGTATGCTGTTAACTTGATTAGTAAACGCTTGCAATTTAATGATATGCTTATTAACATTGCTATTGAGGAAGTAAAAGGGTTGATTGCTTTTTTAAAAAAATATATGCGACAAATATTGCTAAAGAAATTGCCATTGAAATGAAAATAAATCCTTTATTTCAAGCGAAAAGTATAATTCGTAGGAAAAAAACATTTTGATGAAAATGTTATAGTAGAGGATGCACAATCACCTGAAGATTCTTTAAGAACCAATTGTTTCCTTTATATAGTAGATCAAGCAATTGAGTCACTTGAAAGAAGGTTTGATCAATTCAATTCATATGAAAAAAATTTGGATTTTTATTTTCTTCTGACAAGTTAAACTCATTGGATGATACTAATTTGAAAGCATGTTGTGATCATCTTAATCTTGTTCTAAGACATGTAAATTTTTGCGATCTTGATGGCAAAGATTTCAAAATTTAAAAGTTTTACAAAATCTTTTACCAAAAGAAATAAAGACATTTTTGATATATTGACTTATTTGAAAAGCTTGGATTGCTTTTCGAATACATGTATTGCTTATAGAATATTATTGACAATTCATGTTACTCTTGCATCTGGAAAAAGAAGTTTTTCAAGATTAAAGTTATTAAAATCTTATTTGCGATCAACCATGTTACAAGAACGATTGATTGGACTAGCTTTAATATCTATTGAACATGATTTTCTAGAACATATTGATTACGAAAGTTTAATTAGTGAGTTTACTTCTAAAAATGCGAGAATAAATATTTTTACATGATTTGTTGCATTTTAAGGTTTGTGCGTGAAATTATTATTATTATTATTATTATTATTATTATTATTATTATTATTATTATTATTATTATTATTATTCCATGGTTTTCTTATATAGAATTGCACGAAGAGGTTAGTGGTTTGGATGGTTCTTTGTTGATGACATGTGAATCTTGATGAGGTTCGAGAGATGCTTTTGATCTTTATTTATACTTTTCTCATGATATGTAAAAAAATAAACAAATATTTAAATATTATATTTTTGCAATGAAATATTTTTTTCTTAATGTATTTTTTAATTATTTAAAAGGGGCACTATTTTAAAATCTCACAAGGGCCGGCGTTGGAGAGAATCTTTGAACTCGAAGCTTCTCCATTTCAATCTGCTAATCATTCATATTTCTTGTCATTTCAAAACTAAACCATCTCCTGATGCCAATGATTTACCTAGGGCTGTAAATGGATCGAATATGGACCGGATCTGCTTATATCCGATCCAATCCGATAAGAAAATTTATCCGATCCGATAATCCAACGGATATTTAATCGCTAAATCCATATCCGATTTGCAATGTTATCGGATATCCGATCCGATAATCCGATCCGAAATTAATAGAAATTAGGGAAAAAATTATTGAACTAACGTGAGGCCCACCTATTTTTCCTAACAAGTCCAATAGTGACTTCTACCAT